GCAGTTAATTTTCCAATTTAAGCAATTGGAAAGAAGAAGCCTGAAAAAATCTTTTTTTTTTTGCATTTCTTTACATAATTTGTTACTGAACATTTTCTCATAAAAGCCAGCTTTCAGTTGATTAAGTTGTTACTATAATTTGTAAACTTGTGATCTTCTTTTCAGGCATGTTTTTAGATTCTCAATTTTGAGACCCACAACCGATCTCATAGCTCAAATGTACTACTCTAGGGGATCAACAAAAATATGGTGAGCTTGATACATGTATATATAACCTCACACTCTGAATGCTGGTAGTCTGCTGTACAAGATTGCAAAACTTTGTGACACAGGAGGAGAGAAAACAGTCTCCTTTTAATATTGATTTTCAGAATTGTGCTGCAATTTTAACTTGGCTTTATAGACAAGGCTGCCATACTATCCCGGAGGGGGAAAACTCAGACATAAAAAGGACAGAGGTGCTCATTGGAAATTTTGAGAAGAACCCCTAAGAGGTACCAAGATCCTGTTTTGTGGGTGTGGCTTGAAATTTTTTCACCCATAATGCATATATGCCAACTCTCCCGGATATGGAACGAATCTCCTGGTCTCCTGTACGGGTCACCAAATCTCCGGGATAAAAAATGACTTTGAACCTTTCAAAGACCTTGCTCCACTAAGGCTGAAATCGTATCCATAAATTAATACAATTTCGGGTTTTTCAACTTGTTTCACCGTTTCTTAATGCGTGTTNCTGGTAGTCTGCTGTACAAGATTGCAAAACTTTGTGACACAGGAGGAGAGAAAACAGTCTCCTTTTAATAGTGACTTTCAGAATTGTACTGCAATTTTAACTTGGCTTTATAAACAAGGCTGCCATACTATCCCGGAGGGGGAAAACTCGGACATAAAAAGGAAGAGGTGCTCGTCGGAAATTTTGAGAAGAACCCCTAAGAGGTACCAAGATCGTGTTTTGTGGGCGTGGCTTGAAATTTTTTCACCCATAATGCATACATGCCAACTCTCCCGGATTATCTGGAAGTCTCCCGGATACGGAACGAATCTCCTGGTCTCCTGTATGGGTCATCAAATCTCCCGGATAAAAAATGACTTTGAACCTTTCAAAGACTTTGCTCCACTAAGACTGAAATCATATCCACAAATTGATACAATTTCGGGTTTTTCAACTTGTTTCACTGTTTCTTAATGCGTGTTTTTGCATCGTTGACTTTCAACCACACGTTGACAGAAAATAAACAAAGGCTTTGTTCATTATATCGGCCATATAACCAAATGTCTGATTGGATCTCTGTTGAACCAATAACAAACCATGACAAAAGCTTCCTGGTTTTCCCCCTAATTTCCCGTCCCTGCGTGCCATTTCATGAGTGATAGTAAGATTTACAATGGGGT